AAAGACACACAGAAAAATGTCAGGGTTCTCACCAATATATGGACCAGATGCTAAGAACCACCAAAAGGGGCATGACTCTGCCACTGGGGAGCATCAGCTAGGTCTTCCCTCATTTCTGTACTCCAGTGGCTCTCACCAGTAACTCCAGAGGACACTTGGAAGGTTCTGGAGACATTTTTTATGGTTACAACTCAAGGAGAGGGAGATGTGCTATAATAACTAGCCAGTAAAGTTAAGGAATGCTGATCAACACCCTTCAATGCATGGAACAAACCTCACTGCAAATAATGCGCCAGTCCCAAATGTCAACAGTGTCATGGATGATAAACCCTGTGGTATTCACTTAACAAACATTTATTGATTATCTTCTCTGTGCCAGGCATATTTTAGATGCCACTGAGGATCCACTGTGGAGCTGATTAGACATGACCCTGATCTCCATGCTTGCATGTTAAGAAAGGAAGATGTGGCTATTAGACAAATATTTCTATAGATTATACTAATTAATAAATATGTATACATATGATAAACTGTGATAAAAGCTATGAGGAGAGAAAGAAGGTGCTGTGAGTTCTTGTAACAGGAGTGGTGACTAAGTATGGGGAAATCAGGGAAGGTTTTCCTGAGGAGGTGACATTTAAGGTCAGACCTAAGGGGAGAAGAGCATGGCAACCCACTCCAGTATTCTTGCCTGGAGAATCCCATGGACAGAGGAGCCTGGCAGGCTACAGTCCATGGGGTCTCAAATGTGTCAGACACAACTGAAATGACTGATCACGCATAGCTTATTCACTTCATTGTACAGTAGAAATTAATACAACATTATAAAGCAATTATTCTCCAACAAAAAGACCATATCTATTTTTATCCATGTGGTTTAATAAAAACCACAATTAGAATGAATAAAATTAAAAACTTAGATAATAACAAGTGTTGGCAAGGATGTAGAGAAATTGGAACACTAATATGCTGCTGGTGGGGATGTAAATGGTGCAGCCATTGTTGTAAAGAGTCTAGCAGCTACTCAAATGATTAAACATAGAGTTATCATGTGACCCATTAATTTCACTCCTATGTATATACCCCTCCAAAATGAAAACATAGGCCCATCCAAAAACTTGTACATGAATGTTTACAGCAGAAACACTCATGATAGCCAAAATGTGGAAACAACCAAGAAATGTATCAACAGATGGATGAGTAAAAATGTCATATATCCAAACAATGCAACTTTATTTGGCCATAAAAAAAGGAATGAAATTCACAATACATGCTGTGACATGGATAAACCTTGAAAACATGCTACATGAAAGAAGTCAGACACAAAATGATAAATATCATATGATTTCATGTATCTGAAACGTCCAGATAAGGCAAATCTATAGAGACAGTAGATTAGTGGATGCTTAGGACTGGAAAGAGGGGAGGAAAGAGAGATGATAGCTAAGGGGTACAGGTTCATTTTGAAGGTGAGGAAAATGTTCTAAATTCACTATGGTCATGACTACACACATCTTCATATGGATATATGGTATGTGAACTACATTTCAAAAAAAGTATTTTTGTAGACCATAATAGCTGATGGTAAATGTGATGACCTATAAGGGTGGGATGCTGGGGTGGGAAGGAGGTTCAGAAGGGAAAGGATATATGTATACATATAGCTGATTCACATAGTTGTACAGCAGAAAGTAATGCAACATTTCAAAGCAATTATTCTCCAATTAAAAAGTCTTGTCTTCTCAAAAAAATGGGAGGCTCTTATCTTCATAACTATTTAAAAAGATAAGAAGAAAGGGAGGAAGGGAGGAGAGAGGGAGGAAGGAGAGGGAGGAGAGAGAAAGACACACAGAGAGAAAGTTTACTTCTATCTCTAACATAAATACATGGCTTTGGACTTCCCTAGTAGTCCAGTGGTTAAGAATCTGCCTGCCAATGCAGGAGACAGGGGTTTGATCCCTGGTCCAGGAAGATTTCACATGCCATGGGGCGACTAGACTCATGTGCCCAGATGCTGAGCCCATGTGCCACAACTGCTGAAGCCTGTGTGCCCTAGAGCCTGTGCTCTGCAACAAGAGAAGCCACTGCACTGAGGAGCCTGCAGATCCCAACTAGAAAGTAGCCCCCTCTCACCGCAACTAGAGAAAGCCCATGGGCAGCAACAAAGACTCAGCAGAGATGAAAATAAATAAATAAAATTTTTTAGAATGTAGCTTTTTCTTTAAGCTAAGAATATGTTAGAGCAGTGGTTTCTAAAGTGTCATCCTCAGACCAACTTCAGCATCACCTAGGAGCTTATTCGAAATGAAGATTCTAGAGTCTCCCCCGCCACCCCCTCTTAATCCAGACCTGCTGAATTAGACACCCTGGAGTGGGACCCAGCATCTAGACTCTGATGTGTCCTCAAGTTGGAGACCCATTGCCTCAGAAGACTCACTCAGCTGATCTCATTCTGTATCCATGAACCTCCCTGGGTTCTTGATTTTAAGCAACTGCCAAACCTCACTGTGTCCACTGTCTGATTTAAAAATGGAGTTTAACCCACAGGGAAACAGTGGAAACAGTGGCAGACTTTATTTTCTTAGGCTCTAAAATCACTGCAGATTGTGACTGCAGGCATGAAATTAAAAGATGCTTGCTCCTTGGAAGAAAACCTATGACCAATCTAGATAGCATATTGAAAAACAGAGACATTACTTTGCCAACAAAGGTCCATCTAGTCAAAGCCATGGTTTTTTCAGTAATCATGTATGGATGTGAGAGCTGGACTATAAAGAAAGCTGAACACCGAAGAATTGATGCTTTTGAACTGTGGTGTTGGAGAAGACTCTTGAGAGTCCCTTGGACTGCAAGGAGAGCCAACCAGTCCATCCTAAAGGAGATCAGTCCCAAGCATTCACTGGAAGGACTGATGTTGAAGCTGAAACTCCAATACTTTGGCCATCTGATGTGAAGAGCTGACTCATTTGAAAAGACCTTGATGCTGGGAAAGATTGAGGGCAGGAGGAGAAGGGGATGACAGAGGATTGAGTCAGCATCACTGACTCAATGGAAATGGGTTTGGGTGGACTCCGGGAGTTGGTGATGGACAGGGCGGCCTCATGTGCTGCAGTCCATGGGGTCACAAAGAGTAGGACATGACTGAGTGACTGAACTGAACTGAACTGAACCCAGAGGAGTTACATGATTCTGTCTGAGTTCCTCCCTTGAAGCAGGGCCAGGCTGTGGATGCATCCTTCCAATCTATCTGACTTCACAATCCATGAAATTGAAATGGATTCTCATTGGGGATTTCAAGGGAGCCTAGAAAAGGGATTTGTATTAGGTACTTTATGGCAACCTATTTAGCCTAATAAAATGTCCATTTATGTATCTGCTCTTTCCCCAAATTTCTTCACCAGTCACTGGATCCATCATCCCCCTTGCATGCTCAGTCACTCTGTTGTATCTGACTCTTCATGGCCCCATGGACAGTAGCCCACCAGCCTCCTCTGTCCATGAAATTCTCCAGGCAAGAATACTGGAGAGGTTTTCCACTTCCTACTCTAGGATATTTTCCCAGACCAGGGATTGAACCCGAGTCTCTTGCTCCTCCTGCTTTGGCAGGTGGAAAATCTTTACCACCGCACCCACTGGGAAGCACCTAAGGTCCCCATAAACTGCCAGCAATCTGGTTTTTCTACCTGTTCTTCTCATATTTCTCAAACCAGCCACCACTTCATCTTCCCTCTCTCACATTCCCCCCCCATCTCGTTCACATGTCCTATCTTCAGACCCTCTCTCTCTCTCTCTTCTTCCTATAATTTGTATCTTTAGACATATCATTTGCTCAGCTAACAAAAGCAACACATAGGAGAAGAAACCAGTACCTCCAAAAATGTGAAGATTTGAAATGAAAAACCATTTCCCCATCAAGAATGCCTTCCTTTCCTTAAATACAATAAATGAAAGAGGTGAGGTTTGAAAGCATAGAATGCCATGCACTGCAGACAGATTCTTTACCATCTGAGCCACCAGAGAAGCCCATTTGATTCCAAACAGGCCCCAAATCACTGTTACTGCTTCTGTTGTCATTGTTTGGGGCGGAAAAAGCATCCCTTCCTCACACATTGAAGATACACTAGGTACACAGGTTCCCCAACATAGCCCATGGGCATCTTCTCCTGCATTCTGCTCTCAGGCACAGTCAACAGGAGGAAATTGACTCAGAAAGTCAATCTTGGTGGATGGTGACTCCATTGAATTCAAAAGGAGTGAGGTCAGCCAGACCGTGGAGGAGAGGAAACAGACCTTTTGCATTTATAGAGAACTAGCTGAGGTGGGCTCCAAAATCACTGCAGATGGTGATTGCAGCCATGAAATTAAAAGATGCTTACTGCTTGGAAGGAAAGTTATGACCAACCTAGATAGCATATTAAAAAGCAGAGACATTCCTTTGCCAACAAAGGTCCGTCTAATCAAGGATATAGCTTTTCCAGTGGTCATGTATGGATGTGAGTGTTGGACTGTGAAGAAAGCTGAGCACCAAAAAATTGATGCTTTTGAACTGTGGTGTTGGAGAAGACTCTTGAGAGTCCCTTGGACTGCAAGGAGATCCAACCAGTCCATCCTAAAGGAGATCAGTCCTGGGTGTTCATTGGAAGGAGTGATGCTGAAGCTGAAACTCCAATACTTTGGCCACCTCATGCGAAGAGTTGACTCATTGGAAAAGACCCTGATGCTGGGAGGGATTGGGGGCAGGAGGAGAAGGGGACGACAGAGGATGAGATGGCTGGATGACATCACTGACTCAATGGACATGAGTTTGAGTAAATTCCAGGAGTTGGTGATGGACAGGGAGGCCTGGCATGCTGCGATTCATGGGGTCCCAAAGAGTCGGACACGACTGAGCAACTGAACTAACTAACTAATCTGAAGTGGGAGCAGAGGAAGTCCACACACAGGACTCATCATGAATGCAGCAGGATTATTTCCATTATTCAGACAAGACAATGGACTGAAGTGCTTCTACCTGCCACAACTCCTGTTACAAAACCTGCCACTTCAGGAGCTATGGAGAAAGAGCTTGCTGAGGAAGGTCTTCTTCATGGCTTCCTTCAGCTCCTTGTTCCTGAGGCTGAAGATGATGGGGCTCAGGAAGGGAGTGAGGACCGTGTAGGTGATGCCCATCAGCGTGTCTCCTTCCAGAGATTGGGGCCCCTTGGGCTTGAGGTAGATGACAGATGCAAAGCCATAGTGCACAACCACCACGGTGAGGTGGGATGCGCACGTGGAGAAGGCTTTGTGCCGGCCTTCAGCTGAAGGGATCCTCAAGATGGTGGCCACGATGAAGGCATAAGACAAGAGGATGAGGAGACAGCAGCCCAGCAGGGCAGTGATACACACCAGGCCCACACCCATGGCCACAGTGGAGATGTTCCCACAGGCCAACTTCATTAGAGGCGGCACATGGCAGAAGAAATGGTGGATCACATTAGACCCACAGAAGGTGAGTTGGAAAATGGCAGATGTCACCACCAACCCCATGACTGAGCCTCCAGCCCAGGACCAGGCCACCAGGCAGGCGCAGCCTCGGAGGTTCATGAGCATGTTGTAGCGCAGGGGGTGGCAGATGGCCACGTAGCGGTCATACCCCATGACTGTGAGCAGGAAGGAGTGGGTGAAGCCAAACGTGAAGGAGAAGAACATCTGGCTGGCACAGGCTTTGAAAAGGATGGAGCGGTGGGTGGAGAGCAGGTCGGCCAGCATGCGCGGGATGATGGCGAAGGTGTATAGGATCTCTGAGATTGAGAGGGCACACAGGAAGAGGTACATGGGAATGTGGAGGCTGTGCTCCCTCCAGACAGTGGCCATGATGAGCAGGTTCCCCAGCAGCGTGAACAGGTACATCAGCAGGAAGAGCAGGAAGAACATCAGCTGAAGGCGGGGGAAGGTGGAGAAGCCGGTGAGGATGAATTCAGTCACTGTTGTGAAGTTGGCTCCTTGCATGAAGGCTGTGCCTGAAGTGTGGTGTGATGTGAAGAGGTCAGCTACTGGATAGGGGGAGGTTGTCAGCTTCCACCACTCCTGGCTCTGCCCCAGAGGCTGCTCCTGATAAATGACAGATGACACTGGCTAAGTTCCTACTCTGTAAAGTGAAAGTTGCTCAGTAATGTCTGACTGTTTGTGACCCCATGAACTGTAGCTTGCTAAGCTCCTCTGTTCTCTGCCCACGGGATTCTCCAGGCCAGAATGCTGGAATGGGTATCCATTCCTTTTGCCAAGGGATCTTTCCAACCCAGGAATCAAACCCATTGCAAGAGATCAAATCTCCTGCATTTCAGACAGATTCTTTACCAACTGAGCCACCAGGGAAGACCTCCTATTCTGTGCCACCGATGATTTAATCCTTTTACCAATGTAGTGGGGGAAGTGTTGATTTGATTGCTCCATTTTGAATATCTTGTAAATATTCATTGAGAATGTTGTGGTGCATAAATGCTAAGCAACTTGTTTGAGGTGAGCTGTCAAACATGGTAGAGTTAAGACATGACCCATGGCTGGCTGCCTCCAAAGTTTATACCTTTCTATACATCTAGGTTATCTCTGAAAATAAAAATATTCCTTTACCAGAGGGTACAGCCTTTGCTACTTACACCCTTCTGATAAATCTTGTTCTTCCCAGAGCTTCAGATACTGCGAGACCTACCCACGCTTTGTCTACAACACTTTGAACCAAGTGCATCTCTAATTTAGTATGAATCAACCAGATTCTTCTTCTAGAGTTACCAATGCAAGAAATCTGAGGCAAGAGACTGTAGAAATAATGTTCTGGTTGTTTTCTGGATCCTATGATGTGCATGTGTATGTTCTGAGCAATGCAACATAGCCATCTGACAAAAGAATGAGGGAGTCAGCCAACCTGAGTTCGAACCCCTGCTCTGCCTGCTATAAACTTGAACAAGTATCTTCACCTCTCTGTACCTCCATTTCCCCCTACCAAACTCAGAGTTATTCTTGGACTGTGACCTGGAAAACAGTGAAAAGTATTAGTCCCTCAATCGTGTCCTACTCTTTTGCAACCCTATGAACTATAGACCACCAGGCTCCTCTGTCCATGGAATTCTCCAGGCAAGACTACTAGATGAGCATGAAGCCATGCCCTTCTCCAGAGGATCTTTCTGTGACCTGGAAAATAGTAGATACTTTGCATGATAACTAACTCAGTACCCTCAGTGAGCAAATGTATACCATCTGTGATCAGTAAATAACCTTAATTTTATAGGTATTCATTGTATCTTTATGGATAACTATGTTAAGTGCTTTTTTTATTAGGCTATGTCAAGTTTAAATGGCAGTGAACCACTAATCCCTTTTCTGTCTCTATGGATTTGCCTGTTCTGGACAAGTCATCTAAATGTAATCATATGTTCTGCGGCCTTTGGGGCCTGGCCTCTTTCCCTCAGCACTTTTTTCTTTTTCTTTCTTTCTTTTTTTTTTTTTTGAGGTTCAACCATGTTGTAGCATTGTCATAACTTCATACCTTTTTATGGCTAAGTGATGTTTCATTGTACTAACGGATCACATTTCATTGATTTATTCACCCACTGATGGACATTTGGCTGTTTACACATTTTCACTATAAATAATAATGCTTCTGTGAACATTCATGTAGGGGTTTAAGGCATGTCAGTGGTTACCAGGGGCTGGGGGAAGGGGATAAATTGGAATGACTGCTAATGGATTTGAGGTTTCCTTTGAGGGTGCTGAGAAGGTTCTGGAATTAGATAGACAGGTTGTGCTTACACATCATGAATGCACTTAATGTCACTGAAATGTATGCTATAAAATGGCTAAGGTGGCAAATTTTGTTATATGCACTTGTTTTTGCTGTTGTTTAGTCACTAAGTTGTGTATATGTATTTTATCACAATACAAAATAGGGCAAAAAAAGTAGCAAGCACCCTCTTAAGTGGGCTCATATATTTGATCAAGCTCTGATAGGTTGAGAACAAAACAAAAACACGAGGGAATCAGATTCTTGGGTGAATGGAGACTGCACTCCCCAACATGACTCATTTCCAGAGTTTCTTGGCCTCCCTCCCTTGGAGTCACTTGTTTCGTTCCCTCTTTCTGGGCCAGCACCTGCCATAGGTCCCCAGGATCTTCGCCCCAACAGCCCCACTCAGTCCCGGTACTGTGAGATCCTAGAGGGGGTGAGTCAAAGCTACTGACTTGGAAACAAGAGCCTCCAAAAAGAGGCTGAATGAGTGAGACCAAAATCAAGTGGACTGTGCTCTCAACTTCTCAAAGCTCTCCAACATCTAATGCAAGTTTTCTCAGTATTTGGTGCTGGATCATCCTTTGCTATGGCAGGGGGTGGTCACCTGTGCACTGTATGGTGTTTAGCAGCCTCCCTGACCTCTACCAGCTGGACGCCCAGAGCTCCTCCTCAGTAGTGACAAACAAAATTATCTCCAGACATTGACAATGTTCCTGTGGGGAGCAAAGTTGCCCCCAGTTGAGTACCAATGATCTAGAGAGCACAGTTGTAATTACTTAGCTGGTCTTTCTGCCCAGATCTTGGTTCTTCTTCTCCAACTGGCAAGCACCTGTTCATCTTTAAGACTCAGCTTAAATGTCACCTCCTCTGTGAAGCCTTCCTGAACAATCTCTTCCCAAAACAGACTTAGTCACTCATTCCTGTCTGCTTCCAAAACAGCTCCTTTGTAAGTTTAAACCTCCATGAGTTTAGCTCTTTCATGACCTTCATTACAATGTGCCACATTGGAGATATAACTGTCTATGGCACTGGATTTTTGGTTCTTGATGAGAGTAGCTACACTTTGTTGGACGGTGGCACTTGTGCTTACATGTTTCTTATGAAATCTTTAATCCAATATTATGAGACACCTGCTACAATCTCTGTTTTACAGAAGTGGCAGCTGTGTCCCAGAGAGGACACATCATTTGTCCAAGGGACCATGGCTCCTGAATGAGGGAGCCAGGATCTGACCTACAGCTGAATGACCCCAATGCCTATATTTTCTAACCTCTCTGTTGTACTCACCACTTACTGGTAGCTGTTAATGAATGTCCAGGCTACTTCCAGGACCAGAGTTAGCTTCACCATATCAGACCATTCACACACTCCCTTTCTATATTAATAAAGACTACAAAAGCCACAGCCATGAAGAAAGAAAGAGAGAGAAACTATAAGAAGTTGAGAGCTTACCGTGTCCTGGGGAGGCAGCCCAGGTCTGCATATTCACCTTCTGGGATGATGGGAATGTAGAACCCTGCTAAGACTGGTATCTGTTCATTCTGAAAAACTGGAGACAATAAAAAGATTGGTGGTTGTCAGGGGTTCAAGGAGAGAATAGAAGGGATGAATAGGTAAAACTTGAGATTTTTTAAGGTGATTAAACTCTTCTGCATGATACTATGATGATGGGTACATGACATTGTGCATTTGTCAAAACTCATAGGATGTACGGCACCAAGAGTGAACCCTAATGTAAACTGTGGGCTTTAGTTAATAATAAAGTGTCAGTATTGGTTTAGCAACTGTAACACAGTTACCTCATCAATACAGGATGTTAATAAGGAAATCTCTGTGCAGGGAGAGAAAGGGTACATGGTAATCTTTTGCACTATTTGCTAAATATTCTGTAAGCCTAAAATTACTCTAAAATTACTCTAAAAACTAAACTCTATTAATTCTTTCAAAAAGTAAAACAAATAGACACACAACCATGGCATGGGACCAGGAGAGCAGAGAGGTAGGCTGAAGTCTCCTGGCATTGATCCACCAGGAGAACACCTAGTGGGTTTCCTATAAGTAAACTGAGCATCCCTGGAGAAAAAGAGAGAGAGTGTGTGTGCAATCCAGCTATATGACACTTAGAGGATCTCATAGGTGGGGCCAGATCCCCACCCAGAAACTCAGGGAACAAAATCCACATGTGGACAAATCCTGTGCTCATGTACCACTGCAGGTTTTCCAATTTCAGCAGTAGGAACTTTAGGGGCTGATAATTTTTTGTGGCTGGAGCTGTGGAGCTTCCTGGGCATTAGAGGATGTTGAGCAGCATCCCTGTCACCCTCTAGATGCAGTAGCATCTCCTAGTTGTGATGATCAGAAGTATCCTCACACATTGCCAAGTGTCCCCTGGGGAGGAGAACTGCCCCTGTTTGAGAAACACAGGTTAAGGGTACTGTCTCCATCTTCTCTTAACTGTCTGCCTCCCTCCTGGCTCTCTTCTCATGAAGCTGTTTAGGTTCCCCTCTCTGCAACCTCCCTCCCATCTCAGTCACCTCCTGCCTCCTTTTTCTCTCCCTATTTTCATCCTTAACTCCTTACCGTCAGGGCACCTGTCTACCCTGGTGGCTCCCTAATACTTTACACACCCCAGGAGGTGACTGGAGCCCCTCAATCCTAAATTCTCTTGTCTATGTCTTTTCTCCACTTCCCCACAATTCTTTTACCTCCGATTTTTGGCCAGGACAGAAAGGAGAGAGGTTAAAATTCAGGCATGTGTTCTGGGTATCTTGGGGTGTGGGTGTTAGTCACTCAGTCATGTCTGACTCTTTGTGACCCCATGGACTGTAGCCCACCAGGCTCCTCTATCCATAGAATTCTCCAGGCAAGAATACTGGAGTGGGTAGCCATTCCCTTCTCCAGCAGATCTTCTTGACCCAGGGTTCGAACCCTGGTCTCCTGCATTGCTGGACGATTCTTTTCCATCTGAGCCACCAGAGAATCCAACTTGGGGTGGTAGCACTTTTCTCTCTGCCTGTGTGTTCTCACCTGTCCTGCAAAGCAACCATCACAGTATCTTGAAACTAGGAAGTGGCGCGTTGACTGCTGTCCCCACCCCACTGACTCAGATTGCACAGCGGTTTGTCTAAACAGGGTGGCTTCTCTGAGTCTGTGGCAGGTGTTGGCTCCTTAGATCTCTCCTGCTCAAGGGAGAGGGAGTGATAGTGACCCACCTGGAGCTCCAGGTTCTGCATTTCCTTCTGCCTCACTCCAGCAAGAGGCCCTGGCGTGGTGTTTCCCTGCCCGGGAGGGCTGCAAGGCAAGGAGCCTGCCAGCCTGAGCGTGCCAGCCGCTCAGGGGGTTTACCTGAGCTTGTCCGCCATCAGTTATGCTGCCTCTATTCTGCCCATTGCCTCCTCTCACTGTGGTACCATTGTCCCTGCCTCTGCCTCTGCAACAGGCATGCCAGGACCCCGGGGAACCCTGCCAGGCATAGGACAACCCCAGGGAGACTCTGTCCTCACCTCCCCTCCCTCCCTGCCTTCTAGCGCTGAGTTGATTACCTGTGCTTCTCAGAGGCTCCAGCAGAGTTTAATGCTCTGTCTTGGGGGATTTGGGGCCCTGGTTTCTGACTTTGGGAGAAAAGCAACCTTTTCACTGCCCACTGGGGCTGAGAAAACTACCCAATGTACCTCTCCACCCTCACTCTTTCCCTTCCAGGTTATTTTCCCAATTAAATGTGTTTTAAAATTTTAAATTATCACACAAATATGTGTTTCTTCTTATCAAATAATTGAAATGCTATAACTCAGGCTCAAAGTCAAGCAATGGCTAGTCATGAGATGACTATTATGAATGTGATGGACATACTTACAGACCTCTGTATGCATGGGGCATTTGAACAAACATAAGCTCCTAAAATGGTGGTATCATGGGGTTTTGTTTGCTTTTTGATTTTGTTTTATTCTTGAAGTTCACATAACATAAAATTAACCATTTTAAAATGAACAATTCAGTAGCACTTAGCACATTAATGTTGCTCAACCATCATCTTTATCTAGTTCTAGAACATTTTTATCAGTACCCAAAATGGGAGAACCCATCCCGTAAGCAGTCCTCCTCTCCCAGCTCATTAGCCCCAGATTAGTGGAAGACACTAATCTGCTTTTTTACCTTATGAATTTGTCTCTGCTGGGCATCTCAAATAAATGGAATCATATAATACATAGCCTACAGGGCCTGGCTTTTTCACTCAGCATATTTTTGAGATTCACCCATCGTGTAGCAAGCATCAGTGTCTCATCCCTTTTCATAGCTGAGTAATATTCCATTGTGTGGTTTGACCACATTCTGTTTATTCATTCACACACTGATGATATTTAGGTTGTTTCTGCCTTTTGGCTATATGAATAGTGTTTCTATGGATATTTTTATACAAATATTTGATTGAATTATTTTTATTTCTTTGAGGGTATATTCCCAGTAGTGAAGTTGCTGGGCCATAGAGTGATTCTGGATTTAATTTTTTGATGAACTACCAGACTGCTTTTCATAATGTGTGTTTAACACGGGTCTGATTGTTCTGTAGGTACAAGTTTTCTGTAACTTGGCTTTTCTACTCATTATTTTGGGATGATATTCATGTTAGTTTATATAGCTCAAGGTTTCTTAACCTTGGCAGTGTTGAAACTGGGTACTGATGGATCATCTTTTGTGTTGGGGCTATACTGTACTTTTGTGTTCAACCATGTCCAGCTTTCTGTAGCCCCATGGACCATAGCCCACCAGGTTCCTTTGGCCATGGAGTTTTCCAAACAAGAATACTGGAGTATGATGCCATTTCCTCCTCCAGGGGATCTTCCTGACCCAGGGATCAAGCCCACGTCTCTTGCATCTCCTGCTTTGGCAGATGGGTTCTTTAACACTAGTGCCACCTGAGAAGATTAGCATCCTTGATATCTACCCTCTAGATGCCACTCTAGTCTTGACAAAATTGCCTATGCTGCTGTGGCTGCTGCTAAGTCGCTCCAGTCATGTCCTACTCTGTGCAACCCCATGGACGGCAGCCCACCAGGCTCCCATCCCTGGGATTCTCCAGGCAAGAATACTGGAGTGGGTTGCCATTTCCTTCTCCAGTGCATGAAAGAGAAAAGTGAAAGTGAAGTCGCTCAGTCGTGTCCAACTCTTTGCGACCCCATGGACTGCAGCCTACCAGGCTCCTCCGTCCATGGGATTTCCCAGGCAAGAGTACTGGAGTGGGTTGCCATTGCCTTCTCAGAAAATTGCCTCTAGATATTGCCAAATGTCACCTCGGGGACAAAATCACCTGTAGGTGAGAACCACTGCTATAGAAACACCTCATTTTTATAAAATCAATTTAATAAAGTGGTGTCACAAATATAGGCAGTATACATTCAACTGTTAGATATCTCAGTTTGCTTCTAATTTTTCTCCAATATTAGGAATAATGCAGTACATATCTTTGTACATCTTCTACTACAAACAGGCACTATCTAATTCAAATGCAAACCAAATAGTCAGAGGATCATGTCATAGGAAATATAATCTTAAATTTAAGAATAGTCAAGCTAAACTTCCAAGGGTCTGTGCTAATTTACACTCTCATCCATGTGTCAGAAGATCTATTTCCCCCACCCTCACCAATGCTTGATGGTGTGGAACTTAATTTTGCTAATACGGTTGTCATGCAGTCAAGTGATTTCCAACTGTCATTTAACACTGCTTGTCCCTAATTACTACTGGGGTTGAAAAGTCTCCACTTTTTTCATGTTGGAGTATAGCTGATTTACAATGTTCTCTTATTTCCAGGTGTACAGCAAAGTGATTTAGTTATACATTTACATATATCAAGGTTTCTCTGGTGGCTCAGACAGTAAAGAATCTGCCTGCAATGCAGGAGACTCGAGTTTGATCCCTGGGTTGGGAAGATCCCCTGGAGAAGGGAGTGGCAATCCACTCCAATTACAGTCCAGAGGTCACGGAGTCAGACACGACTGAGTGACTAACTAAATACATATATCTATTCTTTCTAGATTCTTTTCCCATAAGGTTATTACAGAGTATTGAGTAGAGTCCCCTGTGATATACAGTGGGTCCTTATTGATTATTATATAAATAGTGGGTGCTAAGTCACTTCAGTCATGTCCTACTCTGTGTGACCCTTGGACTGTCCTCTGCCCTTAGGATTCTCCTGGCTCCTCTCTCGGTGGGATTCTCCAGGCAAGAATACTGGAGTGGGGTGCCATTTCCTTCTCCAGGATAAATAGTGGCATATATTTGTTAATCCAACCTCCTAATCTATTCCTCCACCACACATTTCCCCTTTGGTAACTGTAAGTTTGTTTTCTAAGTCTATGAGTCTGTTTCTGTTTTGAAAATAAATTCATTTGTATCACTTTTTCAGTTCAGTTCAGCTCAGTCATGTCCAACTCTTTGTGACCCCATGGACTGCAGCATGCCAGGCTTCCCTGTCCATCACCAATTCCCAGAGTTTGCTCAAACCTATGTCCATCAAGTTGGTGATGCCATCCAACC